AGCACTGCTCCAAGGCCACCTCGCTGCCCCATAACGTGGGTTAATTGACCTTTATTCGACTTGGCAATATCCCCCTCACTAAAGTAGGCATCAGTGCACGTTACAGCAAGACTGACGGTACTGAATGCATAGAAAAGCAATAATGGAAAAAAAACTCATCACGACCTCAGTGGCTCTCACCGAATGGACAAAATAAAGTGAAACCATAAGCAATGTATAGCGGGAAAGATATATACTTCGTAAATAAAATAAATACAAATAAGAGAAACCGTTTAAAAAATAAAATTGGGTGCGATTGGTGGGGGAGTTGTCTTTGTTATATCGATATTTGCTCCCATCGCATAACTCTGTGCTTCTCAACGGATGTAATTTGATTTGGCACAAGCTAAACCGACTTGTTTTTGGCCCTATGCAAGTTAACCACGCATTGCACGACCACCGTTTCCAAAGCAACGAGGGTGGCCTATGATAAATATATAAAAAAAATCACCGTGGAAATGCCCTCCCAGATGGAACCTCTTATTAGCAAGAAAGGGTGTCCAGGGTGCCGATTGACGCATGGCAAAAATAATAGCATCATGGAAAAAAAATTGCATCATTGAAAAAAATTCCTTCAAAATGCAACCCATTAACTTGATTGCACATAAAAACCACCCACATACAAAAATAGAGGTCTCGACAGTTCTGTCACTCATACAAAGAATGCACAGTGCATCCCAACCGCTGTTGCCTGAGCGCAAGATTGATGTGGTTATGTCAGGAAGCCGCTGGAGCTATGGTACTTTTAAATGATCAAAATTGAAAATCTAAGTTCTTTAGAACTGCTTCTTGTTGTGTTTAGTTTGTTGTCCTCCCCTTGCATCTCCGATTATCGAGGTTGGCTACACACAGTGTGAAAGAAGCTACAAATATATACCTCTCATATTTACATGCATTGTCGCAGCGACTCGTGAAATATTTTAGTATTTACCGAATTCGAAAAAAAATAGCCTTGTTATTTTGGTTGGCGACCCCTGACAACTGTAGGTAGAGGAAACACCCGGGTCTCTCGTGACAGGCAGATAGTTGGGGAGGGGGAGGCCTCCAACGACAAAACTTGGCACATCTGCCAGCCGAGGCGCCCTTGAAAAAGAGCTCCCTTAGCTCAGTGGGATCTAGTCAGGGAAATAAACGTATGTTTCTTATGATTATGACGTGTGTGTGAGAGCGTGGGCGAGTGGGAGTATGGGTGAATGAGTGAGTGGATGTTATAAGTGGGTTAGTGAGTGAACAAGTGAGTGTGTGAGTGTATGATTGGGCCAGTGAGTGGGTGTGTAATTATGGAATGCTTTAATCATGTCTGCTGACAAAGTCACCCTTGAAAAAAAGTTTCTTAGCTCAAAGGGCTCTACGTGGGGAAGTAAGCTGATTGTTCTGAAAAGTCTTCAGGAGCGGCCGTCAGGCTTTTTTAGCTGCCACAACGCCTGCGCATCGGACCAAGCTGTGCCTCAACACGCTAGAGGAGCAGCGTCATGTGATGCACAAAAACCGGACCACTTTGAGGGGAAGGGCTGTGGAAATATGGATGGAGGACGTGTGTTCAATAGCCATGCGTGTGAATGTGAAACAACGCAGGTGAAATAAGCAGTGGGTTTGTCTGTGAATGATTGAGACGAGAATGTCCAGTCTCCAACAACGTGAGGGTGAGAGACGGTCACATCATCAACAGTGGGTAACGGAGAAAGGTAGTGTTGTTGATACATTCGCACTGCAAGCAAAAGGCTCAAGATTCCAGGATGGGTCACAGGAGTCTACAGACAAATTCCATTTGAGATGCCATGATGACATTCAAGCAACTCGTCACTTTGGGGTAATTACCCGGATTACAGGACATGACACGTCTACAACTTTACTAACTTTGTTTTTTCTTCTTGGTTCTTTCGGTAAAGTCACGTAGAAGGGAAGTAATAAAATAATAAAAATAAAACATAATAAAACAATTCTCACGACGTTTCGGCCACAACGCAAGCAGCCGTCCTCAGGTGAAAACCAGGTCCGTCGAGGCGACAGAGTCTGAATGAAACAGCACACGAGCTTGGAGCATATATATAAGCTGGGCGCACTGACAAAGGAATTTGCATATCAAAAGGAATTTAGCATATTTATGGGAAATGCAGGAATGTGATTAGTACTGCATATGCATGTGCATTATGCAGGATTAACAGCATCAAAGGGAGCTGCAGTTGCTGCTGCTGCTGCAGTTGCTGCTGCTGCTGCAGTTTCTGCTGCTGCTGCAGTTTCTGCTGCTGCTGCAGTTTCTGCTGCTGCTGCAGTTGCTGCTGCTGCTGCACTTGCTGCTGCTGCTGCAGTTGCTGCCTTATCCATTTTAATATAACACTATGTATTATTCTACCCACCCTAATGTGTATCACACTGCTATATGTTTACTATACAATTACGACACCATACATTACTCTGCACACTGCACCATGCCAGTGAGTGGAACGCGGTCTGAAAGTCACCGTAAACGTGAACACAATCAGTTAAGATCCGAAATGGTTTATTACGTCCTTCCAATGATTGCTAAGCCAGAATCCATCTTCTCGGTTGAAATTGTCTCTGTGTTTGTATATGTGGATCGCCTCATGAACGAATCTCTCATGATAGCCAGATGGCTTGCAGAGAACCTCTGTCTTGGAGAAGTCAATGTCATGTGAGCCCACTGAATTGTAACAGTGATCTGCCACGGCTGAGGTGTTTGTCCTACCGTATTTTAGGTCTGCCTTATGTTCACGGATGCGGTCTGAGACATGTCGTTTGGTTTCTCCAATGTAACTGCTACCACAGAGGCAACTTAGTTTGTAGACGCCAGGGTACCGTATGTCTGGAACCACATCTTTTACAGACGGGACCAGATCACGGATTTTATGTACTGTGTTGAATCGGACCTGGATCTTGTGTTTAATCAGGATTTTGGAGATCTTTTTGTGACCCCAGCAATGTAGGGTAAGGTCTTGAAAGGCTCCTCAACAGGATCCTTCTTGATGGTTGGAGTGATGGCTTTGCGGATTGTGTAGTCGGAGTAACCATTAGCCTTAAGAGCTTGGCGTACGTGTTTGAGTTCACTGGAAATGTGTTCATGGTCGGAGATGCATTGGGCTCTATGATATAGAGTCTTGATGAGGGAATTCTTCTGGGATGGATGGTGGTGGGAATCCGGTTTTAGATAAGCATCCGTGTGGGTGGTTAAACACAAGATCCAGGTCCGATTCAACACAGTACATAAAATCCGTGATCTGGTCCCGTCTGTAAAAGATGTGGTTCCAGACATACAGTACCCTGGCGTCTACAAACTAAGTTGCCTCTGTGGTAGCAGTTACATTGGAGAAACCAAACGACATGTCTCAGACCGCATCCGTGAACATAAGGCAGACCTAAAACACGGTAGGACAAACACCTCAGCCGTGGCAGATCACTGTTACAATTCAGTGGGCTCACATGACATTGACTTCTCCAAGACAGAGGTTCTCTGCAAGCCATCTGGCTATCATGAGAGATTCGTTCATGAGGCGATCCACATATACAAACACAGAGACAATTTCAACCGAGAAGATGGATTCTGGCTTAGCAATCATTGGAAGGACGTAATAAACCATTTCGGATCTTAACTGATTGTGTTCACGTTTACGGTGACTTTCAGACCGCGTTCCACTCACTGGCATGGTGCAGTGTGCAGAGTAATGTATGGTGTCGTAATTGTATAGTAAACATATAGCAGTGTGATACACATTAGGGTGGGTAGAATAATACATAGTGTTATATTAAAATGGATAAGGCAGCAACTGCAGCAGCAGCAGCAAGTGCAGCAGCAGCAGCAACTGCAGCAGCAGCAACTGCAGCAGCAGCAGAAACTGCAGCAGCAGCAGAAACTGCAGCAGCAGCAGCAACTGCAGCAGCAGCAGCAACTGCAGCTCCCTTTGATGCTGTTAATCCTGCATAATGCACATGCATATGCAGTACTAATCACATTCCTGCATTTCCCATAAATATGCTAAATTCCTTTTGATATGCAAATTCCTTTGTCAATGCGCCCAGCTTATATATATGCTCCAAGCTCGTGTGCTGTTTCATTCAGACTCTGTCGCCTCGACGGACCTGGTTTTCACCTGAGGACGGCTGCTTGCGTTGTGGCCGAAACGTCGTGAGAATTGTTTTATTATGTTTTATTTTTATTATTTTATTACTTCCCTTCTACGTGACTTTACCGAAAGAACCAAGAAGATGAATCCCTGCAGTCACGAAAGCTTTAAATCGAAATTTAACTTTGTTTTATTTCACCAGGTAAGGCTCACTGAGCTATGTAGCTCTCTTTCAGAAGCGACCTGCCTATCACAAATTGTAGCTCAATTAAGTGGCGTACGTGGAAATGTATTGAAGCCAAATACTTGAAACGCGTGATGTTTATAAATGTGAAGGGGAAAACCGGAGGACCCAGATAAAAATCCACGTGAGAGAAAGGCACAAACTCTAAATATAAAGCAGGCGTCAGATGAGCGAGATAAGATCTCCCAGCCATCGTAGCCCCCAATTCTTTGCTCTGTCGTGCTACGAACACCAACTAGTGTGCTACGCTGTAGGATGAGCTTATCTCTAGATACTCATCTCAGAATGAGCCACCGCAGCTGAGCCTCACTGATTTATATTAAAAACACTAATTTCTTGAAATGATTTTATATTTTAAAGAGTAAATCCATTTGATAAATTTTGTCAATTGTAACGTGTGTGCTGTAGACATGTTCACCATGAAGTTGGTGTTTGTGCACCAAGGGCGCGGGTTCACATTCCAGGCAGTGTCACTAGATGTAAATGACGACAATGAAAATATTTTAAGTATGTTACTTCCTTCTTCACCATTGCTATAAGAGAGAGGTCCTGGTCCAGCATCTCTCTGAGCCATACAGCGAGCGATCCCAGTGAATCCATGGGTCATGGCGAGCGCGAATCCCATTGAGTGTGGATAGCGAGCTGCGCTGCTCTATCTGCCGGGGCACGTTCGTCTTCCCCTCCACGCTGAGCTGTGGACACTCGTTCTGCCTTCGGTGCCTGGAGGCCGCCTGGGAGACGGCGAGCAGCTTCAGCTGCCCGCAGTGCCGAGCGACCTTCCCTGTGCGACCCCAGGTGAGCAAGAACGTGGCCCTCGCTAACCTGGAGGAGCAGATCAGAGTTGGAGACGGGATGGCAACGGCCGTCGTGTGTGACATTTGCCGTGGTGGCCAAATTTCTGGCGTGAGGACCTGTGTGAGATGTGAGATGTCCTTATGTGTGACGCACTCTAGTTTTCATGTAGAGAATCCCAGGCTGAGAGACTACGTCCTGGTGGTTCCCACCGTGAACCCGAAGGTGTAGGGATCACAGACAGGAGCTCTTTCTTTACTGTCAACAGGATAAGATTCCGGTCTGAAAAGAATGTAACCTTAAACTGGAGGCCACTCCGGACACAGGGTCATCAAGGTGGAAAAAGTGAAACAGACAAGACAGGTGAAGTGTAATGTTTCGTTGTAATTCACATTGTTACAGGAGGTTGATAGATTCACATCAGTAGGTCGTGATCCCTCACTTCGACCAGGTGAGCTCCTGTTGAAACCAAACATCCCTTTACAAGGAAACCCAATTAGAGGTGGAAGGGTGGCTCAGACATCAGAACGCTGAGATGGTAACGCTGTAATGCTGAGTTGGAATCTCGTAGGTCGCGCATGGTTAGAATTTGATTTTCAAGTGTAGTGAGTTGATGGTTTAAAACCAGGCAACATTTGACATAATTTCAAATCAAATTTTGTATGATAATTCAAAATTCGAGTTTAATTGAGAAACGATATGATTCATAGCAGGGCGTGCAATACGCCACTGCACATATAATTTGAAGAGGTTAAAAACATTGTAGAATGTACGTGATATTTGTCGATGTTATCTCACAGGATTTTGCATTGCCCCACGGTAGATCCCATTGATTTCATCGTATCAATACATGACATGGACTGTGCAGTCGGGATTCAATCGTGGGAAAAGTAAACATGAATGGAGATGCATGCATAAATATAATGACAACAGATGTGTGTGTGTGTTGAACTTCTTTTGTAGCAATCCGTATTAATCGGAGAGCTGTGGAATGATGATCTATCAGTGATCACCAATGGCAATCGCGAGCACCGCCTATTTATTTATCTATCACACCGCAGGAGGAGCTCAGAGCCAAGAAGGAGGAAAGAGAGGAGAAGAGGAACACGGAGGCATCACGGACACGGACACTCAGGGACGACTACCGGCGTGTGGAGGTACAGAGAGAGATGGCAGCTGCACAAATACCTCTTCTGGTTTGCCTACGAATCGTTTTTCATTAAACCTTGTTTTTATCATTGACGAGCACTGCCCCACGGGTTGGCGCAGGATATAACTTAGGTGAATTTCAAGCGGTGTGGATTTCAAGTGAATCTTTCCCAATGACAACTCGCTGGCTGCCTACTTTAAATATAAAAAATCAACATAAAAATGTAAAAGAGAAAAGTGTGAGCTCGTTACTGTGTTAGACTGTCGGAACTTCTTTTTCAAGTACATTTTTTGAGCGCATAACCTTTCTGAAACTTTATTATTCAATGATATATTGATTTTGTGTATTTTCACAAATCAGGAAAAAATGAGGGAAACATTACAAACGGTTTATGACGGCCAGATTTGCAACACACGTTTACGACGTGAATAGAATTCAAACATGGTATGACACGGAAACTTCATTCACGACACAACTTCCAACATGACAGCAGTTTTGGTTTAGGAAGGGGCGGAATCCATCCACGCTGGACGATACGTTGGCGAATTGCCTTGTCGATTCATTTTGTAATAAAGGTCGTGGAAGCGACTTCTGGAATCCGGTCTTTATTTGTTTTTCTTTACAACACTCCTTCACGCTGCTGACAGACAGCATGAGAGGGATAGAGAGAGAGAGACGCGCGCAGCCACGTGGCTGTCTGGACCCCCGCTCTCGCGTGGCCTCTCCCTCCGTTCGTTCCAGTTCTGACCACGTGTTGTTCGTCTCCACCCCTATTTAATACCCGGGTCACGTGGTACCTTTCCACCAATCCTGGTTAGCCTCTATGGAATCTTCTAGACTCCATCGTAGACTCCCGGGACCACGTCCCTGACTCGTCTCCCCATTGGCTGTGGCTAAAGCCAGGACCGGCAGAGCCAATCATCGTGACGAGTTGTGATCCGTCAGCGATCCGGATATATCCTCACATTACACTTTGTTGACCATAACCACGATGCTTGCTATGAAAGATTGCGATTCCTTTTTTCTGGCTCCCCTAAATCTGAACCATACCAACTTAGCCTGAGTGCAAGGGGAGTGGACGTGAGTATTGCCTTCGAAATCAGCATTGTTTGTCTATATCAGCACATTTTCATTTAACACCATAGATCAATTACACATATATTTGTTCTATATATTCGCAGACTTTTGACACAATTTCCTGGGAATGTCCTCGGCAAGAGAATTGTTTCGGTTTAATGCGCATTTCCCTCCCATGCACTGTTTGGTCGATCCAGAATGGGATGGACAGACAGACAGATAAAAATGATACACATAGAGATGTATTAAATTTTCCCCAGATAGACACTCAGCAACGTATATCTACAAACAGAATAATTTCCTATACGTCCCTTGCCCATGATATTTTCCCCCTATATTCAGTGTTTTTCGATCTGGAAGGACGCGGTGGTGTCCAGAAAAAGACGCGCATTTACTTCCATGTGACATTCAGACCTGGGCTTGTCCAGTAAAACATCGCCATTTTCCTAGCGTAGTATACAGGAGGTCGTGGGTTTGACCCCTACCCTCATGATGCCTGCTGCACATTTTTAGTCTACGTCTCTCTCTCTCTTCTGTGATCACGTAGAATTTTTCCAGGTCCTCTGGTTTTTCACTCCATATTTAGAATCAACATTATGCATGCAGAGTATTTGGCTGCTATTATAAATGGCCACAAAAGCCAGTTCGTTGAGCTGTCATTTGTGATAGCCAGCTCGCTACTGAGCAAGAGCGACATAGCCAAGTGGGCCTTACCTGGTAAGTGACAAAAGTTTTGTGTATTCAGAGTTCAAAAACACGAGTTGTTGAACATTATTTAACCATTAGTTTAGCTGCTAGACTAGACCTGCAAAAAGTTGCTTTGTCATTTTTTGCGGTCCGTGTCCAGTTCCACGAATCCTGTTTTTGATGACATTTTTTTTATGCGCTTACAGATACATCAGTGAACGGTCGTGATGTGATTACCCTGCACGTCCCAAGCTGTGTGAGTGGAGGGACTGCACCCTTAATAGACTCTGCGTTTCCGTGCTGAGCGCAGGAGCTCGGACTCGCAGGGGATCCAAGATGTGTCTCTTCCCACATTCAGTCACAAAGAGCTCACAGAGGTCATCTCGCTAGGAGGAGTGAATATGGAGCACGTGGCTCTCATGTGTAAGTGTCTCTTTCTTTCTCTGCACTGATCTCTGTCAAAATCGTTTTTGACAAACACAACAATGCAGACCGGCACCGCTCGGTAGGCTACTGCACTTTGTTTCCGCCAGGTGGAGTATCCTTGGGGCGTGAATATTTAAAACATTTGTATTTTACCAGGTAAGGTCCACTGAGCTATGTGGCTCTTTTTCAGAAAGGAACTGACCACAAATGACCACTCAACGAAGTTGATTATCACGTGAAAATTTATAGTAGCAGCCAAATTATCTTAACACTTGACATTGAGTCTAAATGTGGAGTGGAAACTGGTGTTCCTCTGCTGGTTGTAGAAAAACCCTCTGATGAACCAAGACTTCGAGTATAATCTATTACATAAACAATTACCTTACCAGGTAAGACCCACTGAGCTAAAAAGCTCTTATCGTGTAGAAACTTATTGTAGCAAATTACTCTAAATGTGTGATGTTTATTCTAAATGTGGAGGAAAAAACCGGAGGTCCTGGAAAAAATATACGTGTCTACGAGGAGAGAGAGAGACGCAAACTCTAAATTTACAGCAGACGTCAGGGTTGAGATCGAACCCACGACCTCCTGCATACCAGGCGAGGTAGTTATCATCAGGCGGATCGAAGGTAAGCCCAGTGATAAATACAGGCATATGGACACAGAGTGAAACACTGTTCATATAGTACCTGCAAATACAAAGACCCCCGGTATATCCTTAACATACTGTTGAGGCAAGTGCTGTTAGCGAACAGCAGGACCTATGAAGGCAGGCACGGTACACGAGGGGGTGGGTGCCAGTACCACCCCGGCCGCCTTTGTCTCCTGAGTGCCACATGTTTACACATCACACCAACAAAGGGCAGCGCAGCACGAACCACTGTTGTACTGTACCTCTACGCTTCTACGTTTACGGTAACCACCATCGTCAACGAGAACTTACAACAGCGGTGAAGTATGGTTAAATAACCCCCCCCCCCCCAGGGCGCGCACGGCGCGGGGAGGCGCTCATCCAGCAGCGGAGTGACAAAACAATCTCTGTGTGTGGATGTGAGAGTGTGCGAGGCTGTGACACACAATGTCTGTGCGTGGATGTGAGAGTGTGCGAGGCTATGACACACAATGTCTGTGTGGATGTGAGAGTGTGCGAGGCTGTGACACACAATGTCTGTGCGTGGATGTGAGAGTGTGCGAGGCTGTGACACACAATGTATGTGTGTGGATGTGAGAGTGTGCGAGGCTGTGACACACAATCTATGTGCGTGGATGTGAGAGTGTCGTGGCTGTGACACACTGTCTGTGTGTGGATGTGAGTGTGCGAGGCTGTGGCACACAATCTCTGTGTGTGGATGTGAGAGTGTGTGAGGCTGTGACACACAATGTATGTGTGTGGATGTGAGAGTGTGCGAGGCTGTGACACACAATCTATGTGCGTGGATGTGAGAGTGTCGTGGCTGTGACACACTGTCTGTGTGTGGATGTGAGTGTGCGAGGCTGTGGCACACAATCTCTGTGTGTGGATGTGAGAGTGTGTGAGGCTGTGACACACAATGTCTATGTGTGGATGTGAGAGTGTGCGAGGCTGTGACACACAATGTCTGTGCGTGGATGCGAGAGTTTGCAAGGCTGTGACACACAATGTCTGTGCGTGGATGTGAGAGTGTGCGAGGCTGTGACACACAATGCCTGTGCGTGGGTGTGAGAGTGTGCGAGGCTGTGGTGGCTGTGATACAGGCGTCGTGTTTGTAGAGAGACGCTGTGAGTGTGGCGCTAACATCGTGGTGCTGGCATCATCACCACTGTTCACTACCACTGCATACACATGGTACTGTTAGTGTAGCACTATTATTGTTATTCACTAATTATTCACTAATGTGTACACAAATACTAACGAAAACTAGTTTGTGTACAGTTATACTAACGAATATTAGTACATGTACACTAATACTAACGAATATTAGTATGTGTACACTAATACTAACTAATAATAATCTGTACACTAATACCAACGAATATTAGTATGTGTACACGCACACTAACGAATATTATTATGTGTACAATAATAATAACGAATATTAGTATGTGTACACTACTATTTATGAATATTAGTATGTGTATAGTAATACTGACGAATATTAGTATGTGTACACCAATAATAACGAATATTAGTGTGTTTACACAAATACTAACGAATATTAGTTTGTGTACACTGGATACTAACGAATATTAGTATTTGTACACTATTACTAACGAATATCAGTATGTGTACACAGATACTTACGAATATTAGTTTGTGTACACAGACAATAACAAATACCAGTACTTTATGCATTTGTCATATGCGTGATGATCACAGTGTTACGTATCTTCGTATCACGTGCTGCAGTATGACCACAACAACACAACAGGCAACACAACACCAGCATGTGTGTGTGTGTGTGTACACGCCACGTGTGTCCGTGTGTACACGCTATGGGCAATGCTCATGCCGCTACTGCGCACGCATCGTCGTGACCGCTGTGCGGGCGTCGTCACTGTCCTCACCACAGATGGACGCTCACCGACTCTGGACACAAACTCAGCCGGCGACCGCCTTCAGATTTCCTCGGATCTCAGGACGGTGACAGTGAGCGCTGTCCCCCAGGGTCGCCCCCATCACCCACACCGCTTTGATTTCTGTTACCAAGCCCTGTGCTCTGAGAGCTTCTCGTCGGATCAACACTACTGGGATGTGGACGTGGGGAGCGCGAAGTGGTATCGGGTTGGAGTCGCGTATGGGACGATCCCACGGAAGGGGAGTGATGATGAGTGTCTCCTGGGAGGGAATGACGTCTCCTGGTGTCTAAGGAACGATGGCGACACATTGTCTGTGCTGCATGGCGGTGTAAAGATCCCACTGTCGGTGCAGGAGCCTCAGCAGAGAGTCGGGGTTCATCTGGACTGGGACGCGGGGATGCTGTCATTTTATAATGCCGACTCCATGGAGGTGTTGCACTCGTTTCACCAAACATTCACACAGCCCCTATATCCTGGGCTGGCAATGTGGTGGGGTGGTGACTCATTGAGGATCGTGGATCTGAGTGGTGCGTCCTGAGAGGTGAACGTGAACAGCACAGAGGGCAGACACCACGACGCATGGCGCTCGCCACCCTCGTCACCGTCATGCGCAGTGCCACGCCCGTGACTGGCTGGTGGCTGTCGGTGGCTAGAGGCTGCATGGCTCTCCATCACAACGGGGGGGGGGGGAGTCTGAGTGTAAACAATGCTGACAACCTTCATAAGGGAGGGGGTGATAAAATATGTACCGCTCTGTTTGGGTGAAGCCAACGTCGATGTTTTCGCCCTGCCAGAGGGGTGTGACTATAGTGTAGGGATGCAGTGATTAGCAATGATGAACTGGGATGTGTTTATACACTGGTGGTGTCATGGGTTGTGGGAGTGATTCAACAACAATAATAATATGATTTTAAAAAGTATAAATGTACGCTTACGCCAGTGGCATTGTAACGCTTGTTTCGTCGGTTCTACAATAAAAAGAATACACAATACTGTTGTATATATAGGCCTTTTTCCCAAAAAATATATTAAGAATAATTCTTCCAATATTTTTTTAAAAATAATAATCGATAAAAATAAATAAATGAAACACCCTCAAAACTGCTACCTCCCACAAGCACCAAGTATCTGGAGGTCGTAAAAGGCCATTAAATAATAAACTCGGGGCAAAGGAAGGTTAGCGACTATCTGGGAAATCTCCAGATTGTTAAAGGCCCGCATGACATGACCTCCCCGGACATTTTGGACAGTTCACAAACAAATCTATGGAGCACATAGCAGAGACAAACGGACATTACAACTGGCGTTTTCTTTAAGGGTAAAAGTTCAAAACTCAGCAAAAAGAACAAATCGACGTTATAGACTGCAGTCTATATTTGTGGCTTTATTATTACTTATTTTATTTCACCCTTATTCAACTCATATTTTTATTTGTATTATATCTTTCTATCTATGTAACTTCACCAAGATTACCAAGGAATGTGAATTCTGGCAGTCAAGAAATTGAGGGCTTGGCTATTTCTCCAGCCTTGGGATATCAAAATATAACTAGAATAAAACACTGATCCTTGGTGACACAGACTTATAACAAAACTTGGCAAACCCTCGAAATAATGGTGGTAACAACGAGGGGCATTACTAAGCTTGGTTAAACATGAAACAAATAATTACCCCGAGATATTGGACCGGGGGTAACTCATAAGAGATACAAGAAAATAGGTCAAACACACAGGACCAATAAAAAATGTATTCCATAGGAAAAACCTCCCAGCCGCCTTTGTCTCCCAGAAGCATGTGATAGCAATAAACCAGAAAGGATTAGACAAAATATGACACCCGACCGCGAAGGAAGGTGCCAGGCCTTGAAGAAACAACTTATTACCCCAATAAAGTAGAACAAACACACACACGTACCCACAAAAGCAGGGGACACAAATCTCCTCGGACGAGGGATGACGAAACAGACAACGATTTGTTTTTGTTGGTTAACTTTTTGCTTCTTCTAACAACGGTAAAAGTTCAAAACTTAGCGACGAGAATAAGTGAACATCATATACCCACAGACTCACTCCGATTGAAAACAAGGCTAAAATCTACATTAGTGGGTTATTACTTCTCATATATTATTCTAATATTAATGTTATTCACCTTATTTTTGTTCTCATTCTTCTATCTGTAATAAAAGACTCGGACGCTTCTCTCTGACTCCGTGTCCTTTATTTGGGTTCTTGTCTTTTCCCTCACGGCACTCTCTTAGAGACACTCTACTTGTAGCCCCCGGCTGCTATCGCTATTGTAGCCTCCTTCCTCTCCTTGCAGACTCGCTGCTAACTCCGTGTGCAGACTCCCGCTGCCAACTCCGTATGCAGACTCCCGCTGCCAACTCCGTATGCAGACCCGCTGCCAACTGCAGCCTCCTCGCTGCTTCGGGTCGGTCACCGCTGGCCGACGGTGCCGATCCTCGCTCCCCGTGTCCGTGGCGATCTCACCACTCTCCGCTCTCGCCCTACGTGGCCTCACTCGTTCCTGGTCTCCCGTCACTCCCCTTCCTCTTCCGGTTTCTCTCCCTCTATAGACCTGACCCCTCTCCCCCACGTGACCTAACTTCTCCCCTCATGACGTCACTTCCGGAAGGTCGTTTACGCCCGCATTACATCACCCTCCCCCGTAGAGAAAATCCAGCCGACCTCGGCTGAACTACAACTTAACAAGCAATGCGGGTGTAAAGGACCAACACGTTAAAAGACACGAAGCATGCAACAACAATATAACAAGAACACAACACAAGTTAACGAAATGTAAGGGATTTCGAGCGAGTACGGGTAGCCGGGCCGTCCCGGACGGTCGGCAGCCCACCCGCCAAGTGGGAACGTGGCAGGGTTTTAAGGGCGACAGGAGCAAGTTCGTCCATCGCCATTCGAGGCCTGCCACCGTCCCGGTCCCGTTCAGAGGCGTCCCGTAGTCGCGTCCGTGGCGGTGTAAGAAGGGCTGCAGGTCCCGTAGAGTCCGCCGCCCCAGTCGGCGTCCCGCGAGCGGAACGTCCTCCCTCCTGCGGCGTCACGGCCGGCTTGTCTGGAAGGGGTACGACAGGCGCTCTTGCAAGGTCAGCAGGCACAGGCAAGGGCGAGTCGGCAGCAACAGACCCCGGCAAGGCAACCTTAGGAGATGACGCATCAGGTCGCGGGGCAACGTATGGCTTCAACCGAGATGTATGTACGAACCAGCGCCGCGAACCAACCCGAACACGCGCCGACTGTGGGTTGGGAACCTCAATGAGGCGGACCGGTCTCTGCCATGGTTTATGTAATTTAGGAGAGGTACCTGGCCGCACCTGTGGGCAATGAAGCAAGGCCAGGTCCCCCGTTTTCCAGGGGCACTCCCCCTTCGAACGTCGAGCACACCGCTCGTTCCGGGCCTGGGCTTTGGCCTTAGCCATGCGGGCTCCTTCCCTTGCCTCAGTGACACGGCGAACGTTATCCCGAATATAATCAGGAAGAGGTTTAGCAGGTCCCCTCGCTCCGGTTCCCAACTGCTCATTGATCGGCGGCACGTTTTCACGGCCGTACATGAGAAAGAACGGCGAGTATCCAGTAGCCGCATGCGGCGTCATGCGATACGCCGAAAGCACCCCAGGAATGTGCAAATCCCAATCTGACTGTTTTTCACTGACCGTATGGCACAGCATGGCGGACAGGGTCCGATTTAACCGTTCCACCATACCATCCGTTTGTGGGTGGTAGGGGGATGTCCGTATCTTTTTAGTTCCAAGAGCCGCACACACCTCTCCCAACAATTTAGACGAAAAATTCCGGCCTTGGTCTGTAAGGAGCCTCTCCGGCGCCCCCTTGTCCATAACATACCCAAATAGAAAGGCGTCAGTGATAGACGCTGCTGACTGGTCAGGCAAAGGCCAGGCCATCGGCCAGCGGGAGAGGTACTCCACCCCCACCAGCAAATACTTATTTCCCCTAGCGGATGGCGGAAAGGGTCCCAAAATATCTAACGCCACCAGTTCATTAACTCGAGATACCTGAATAGATTGTATCGGCGGCACATATGGATGTTTAGGTGGCTTACGGCGGGCACAATCGGGACACGCGCGAACGTGACCGACGACATCTGTCGTCATGCCGTGCCAATAGTAATCTCGCTGCAGCGTCAATAGGGTCTTCTGCACCCCCAGATGTAAAAGTGTGTCACAATGCAGAGACCTAATCAATTCGTACCGCAATGATGCCGGTACAACAAGACGCCAGCGTTCCTGTATCCCTTCCCTCCACATCAGCAACCCATCTCGGAGAGCGGTTTCCGGTACACCACCCGCACCGAGTCCCCTACTTGCCTTCTCCGGTTGCTTTCGTAACGTTACCAAGGAGTCGTCCAACATTTGCTCCCGAATCCACACAGACCTCGGGAGATGCAAAATCCCATCAGCCGGTCCCCCATCAACCGGTCCCGGCTTAAGCGGAGTTTCAGGCACATCAACCGCCAGCGCGACAGGCTGAGGGGGGAGCTGAATCGGTCCACACCTATGCGTCCCCGACGCACACGCGCAAGGGGATTGTTGCGGCAACCTGGAAAGTGTGTCCGCATTAGCGTGACGCACACCCTTCCGATGGTGAATTTGGAAGGAAAATTCCTGCAGCGTGTCCAGCCACCTCGCCAATTGTCCGGATGGCTGGTCCATCTTAAGAGCATACTGCAAGGCCGCATGGTCCGTGCGGACAATAAACGACCGACCGTACAGATACGGTCGAAATTGGCGGAGAAAAAAAACAATGGTCAAAAGTTCCCTGCGAGTGACGCAGTAGCGGGTTTCCGCGGGAGACAAAACCCGACTACCATACGCCACCACGCGTTCAACTCCACCTTTTGACTGAGACAACACCGCCCCAATACCAGTGTCACTCGCATCAGTATCCAGAATGAAGGGATATTCAAAATCCGGATAATCCAACGTCGGTGCAGTAGCCAATAGATCGCGCAGGCTCCGAAACGCCGCCTCCTCCGGCGGTCCCCAAGCAAATTTGTGTCCCTTCCTCGTAAGGAGATGCAAAGGCCTCGCGATCGTAGCAAAATTCGGAACAAACCTCCAATAATAAGAGGCGAACCCCAAAAACCGACGCACATCACCCACCGTGGCCGGGGTTGGCCAATCACGGACACACGCTGTCTTCTCCGGATCCGTGGCCACCCCGTCCGCACTAACAATATGCCCCAAGTATCAAACGGAGTGTTGCAGTAGGTGACATTTTTTTGGCTTGAATTTCAAATTAGCAGAACGCATTCTGGTGAATACAGCCTCCAACCGCAGTAAATGCTCATCAAAAGTGCGGCTGAAAACGATAATATCGTCTAAATATATCAGACATGTCTCCCACTGCAACCCCGTTAATACCAACTCCATCAACCTCTGAAAAGTGGCAGGGGCCGCATTCAACCCCATCGGAAGACAGTTAAATTGAAATAGCCCCTGCGGCGTACGGAAAGCAGTCTTTTCTCGCGAGGGCTCGTCAAGGGGGAGCTGCCAGAAGCCCGAAGAGAGATCTAGCGTTGAAAAGAACTTAGCCCCCGACAAGGCGTCGAGAGAATCGTCCATACGCAGCAGGGGATACGCATCTGCTACCGACACTTTATTTAACTTACAAAATCAACACAAAATCGCAATTTGCCATCCTTCTTTTTAACCAACACAACAGGCGCGCCCCACGGGCTGTTAGATGGAGATATTATGTCCGCTTTCAACATGTCATCCACTGCCCCACGAACATGCTCTCGCTCAGCCGGACTCATCCGACGCGAGTTCAAGCGAATAGGGGCAGCGTCCCCTGTGTCGATATGATGATAGAGCAGCGAGGTGCGTCCCAAGTCCAAATCGTCGGAGCTAAACACATCCGAATAACTCGATAATAATTTATGAATCGCACAACGCTGTTCGCCGGAAAGGGCTGAATTCTCCCCACACAATTCAGCGATCCAACGATCATCCACCGCTCCATCGTGTGAAACACCAGCCACCAGCCCCCCGTTGGGTAGATCACTCTGAGCCGTAAATGCCGTAGTGGCATGTGCCACAACGGTACCAGCCGGCACACACACGCTTTCAGTACTCGCATTAAGCACCTGCAAAAATGGCCGCTGATCTGGCCGGACAATAGTTTGCGCCCCCACCAGCCCCAATCCGCCCGTAATAGCGGCGGACGGCGACAGCAAAACCCCAAAAGCTCCCTGCCGACCAGGCACCGGCTTCCGATATCGTAAGGGAATGAGCATCTGCGAGCCAGGTGGAATATCAACAGAAACTTCCGATAACGCCTGCACCTGAGCGACAGGAGCAGGTCGCCCCCAGGCGGATGGTAAAAATGCCATTTTACGGCCCCCCGGTAATTCAATGCAGTTTTCATTGATTCGAATTAGAATGGGCATTTTGGCCAAAAAATCAGTACCCAACAGGCAAGGAACCGCAAGGGACCTCGAAATTAACACGATTCCCGAGGCCGACACTCCCCCGATAGATATGTTAGCGTCCACCTGGCCCACGATGCCCATGCTACCCCCGTTCGCAGCGACGCAGGAAGCGTAAGCTGGCCTCACGGCCCCCGGTGGGATGTTCAAAAGGTGGAATATCACATCCGAAATGATGGTCGCGGACGCACCGGAATCCACCAAAATACGCACGTCCACCCCTTGGATCGACCCGGGTACAGTGGACGAACCGGTAGCGGCCGCGACAACCCGCCGAGCCAGCTTGCGCCACTGCGTTACCGAGCGACAAGGCGCAGATAATGGCCTCCCGTATTTAACAACATCCACGTCGCACAACAACGGCGATGAGTGAGGTGTCTGGCCTTGCCGGGTGTCTGGTGCGCACCGACTTGCCTGTGCTGTAGGATCTTTCTTAGGAGCGTCCGCTGTCGAGGCCTCCTGCTGGGGCGGACCCGGAACGCGGGCCCAGCAGTCCCTGGCATAATGGCCCCGACGCCCGCAGCGGAAGCACTCGACCTCGTTGCGGCGCGCAGCGGGCACCCCGTCCCGACGCGGCCGTACCGGCGGCGCAGCCCGCGGCCCCGGCCCACC